ATCAATCTTCATACTGATTTTATTTTATTTTTTGCATTTTTTCCATCTTTTATTGATAAGACTCATTCTGATTCTTATTATTTAGTTTATCCCATTTTTTGGTTCCACATAAACTCTAGGCCATAAAGGGGACCCCCTTGTTTAGACTCATCAGATCTCATGTTACTCATATTAAGGTCATTTGGTACTACAATGTGATTGAACAGAGAGAGAGAGATACAGTTGCTTCAATTACTACTATTTTAATTTCCACCTTCCATTTCTTAGGGAAGTTGTAGTAGTGTTGACCCATAAATCTTCTACGACCCAGGGCATATTCATCATTGTGGTCATTGCTTGCAATAAATTTCTTCCACAAAATGATGAAATAATCTGTACTGCAATCAATGCTTTCATTTGGAATTTTAGAAATTGAGGTGGGAACGGAGTACTCTCTCCCCCTTATTCCAGAAGTTAGAAAAAAAAAAAAAAATGGAAACTAGAAACAAGTTGCCATATCTGGGAAGTCCGCTTTCATTAACCACGATCATCCGGAGAAAAACGATTTGAGAAATTTCTTTAATCGACACAAATTTAAGAAATAATAAAAAGGTCGGCTAAATGCCTCCAATAGAGATGAAATCAGCAAATGTATTTCCCTACTAAATGAATCCGGATCAATTACGCAAAACCTTCAAGGGGTATAGAGAAAACAGGTACCATGGCATCTAATCCATGGCAATATTGAAAATGTGAAAGCGAGAGAGGCCCAAGATCGCCTCTTGTTACAAATATTCAAGGAATGGGCCCCATAAAAAGCCAAAAGTGCACAAAAGAATTTGTAACTTGTAACTGTTGGGAGGTAAAAAGTGCAAAAAAACCACCCATCCATGTCATTATAGAAACCGGAACAGTTGGAGCATGAAACGTCACCGAGGAGAGCTCGAAGATCGCTGGAAAAAGGCTTTGCAGGAACGATAGCATCGTTACAAAACAAATGGATACCCATGGCAGACCCCGAAGGCACACCACACACAAATTCGACTAAGGCCCAACAGAAATAAGAAAAATATAAGAGGGAAAATGAATAGAACCAAAGATCACAAGTCTATTCCATAAGACTGGATCAAAACCGTGTCTGTCTCTCAAATCTGTCCAAAGAACCTCTCCAACAAACACCGATATGAAGAGAAATAAATGAAAACTCACATCCATAGATGTGAGAGAGAAACCCTCACGCAAAGTGTGAGAAAGAAAAACTCACATCCATAGATGTGAAAGAGAAACCCTCTCGTCGAGAGAGAGACCCTCATGTAGAGAGAAACCCTCCCGCCCTCTACTTGCTTAATCTTTCTTGACATAATCATGTCAAACCACTCAAATAATTAAAAAAAAAAAGATAACAAATAAGAACGGGTTTTATTACTCTTTCCAAACTGAAAATATTAAAATGTGTTAATTATATGGGGATCATTTTCTTGAGAAAACTCCGTCAAGAATATGACCACATTGGCTTACACCACCTTAGTGATGACATTCAATCTTCTTAATTTCTTTTTTATGAAAACACCATTGTGCTTCACTTTGATTCTAGTGTTACTTAGGGGGTGTTTAGCATGTTGACTTTATGTTGTCATTGCATTTTTGGTTGATGAATACAAATTTGTATTAAGCATGCATTGCCACTATCATTTCAATTTCAATTAGAAAGTTGTACGTGTGTAAAAACCATCAAATTTTAAGTTTTAAATAGAAATGACAATTTGTATTAATAACTCAAATCATTTTCAAAATGTTGTAGAAAAATCTTTTTCACATAAATTTATTGTAAAGTTAAGTTGCTACAAAAATAAATTAATTTGTTTCTTTTTTTAATTCATAAGTAATTGTACTTTATTATCTCAAATCGTCGGTTATGATGTTAAAGGGATGAGAGATCCATCATATAGATGGTCGATCCCTACAAGTAGGTTGGGCAAATTTTCAAAAGTTTATCTTTTTCCCATGTGGGAATCACATTCCCTATTTTAGAAAACTGCATTTTCAATGATCAATCTTGAACCTAAACCAGACCAGATCTAAAACCAAAAGGGAGTGGAGGGATATACCTGATACGAAGTAGTAATAACCTCCAATGAAGGTGTTCACACCCAAGGAAATATCTAAAGACTGCTTCCATCGAAATTCACACGGTGCAGGATGAAGCAGAATCAGCAGGATGGTTCTTCAGCAATAACCAAATTCTTCAGCAAAAATCTGATGGAGGGCTAGTGAGCATGACTTCAGATCACCTTTTCTGCCTAAAGGTAATATCAAGAATTCTTCTTGATTGCTCCCACAGGTGGAGATCGAATTGGTATGGCGGCAAGAGCAGGAGAGAAGGAGATAGTGTAGTCAAACTATGTTGTCTCTCTCTGGAATTCAACAGTTAGTCAAATGATTTTTGATGTGTACTAAGGGTTCACCCTATTCTCCTATTTATAGCCTTAAAGAGAAGTTCTCATAATCCCATTAGGAGTTTCCTAATCCAAATCTTGTATTTGGATMTGGACTCTCTTTAAGAGATAAGGATAATCCCTTATCTTATCTACAGATAAAGATCAACCCTCCTAATCTAATTAGAAATTTTCTGATCCAAATCTTTATTTAGATCTGGGTTCTTTGAGTGGAAGGGACAATCCCTTATCCTATCTGCTGATCTAAATCCCAGAACCGCCCCTTTTAATTAATCTCATTAAGCCAGTTCGAATTGAGCTTTTGGCCCATTAAGTCTATCTGCTCACTTACCCTCCAAACTGCTGCCTAGTTGGATATCCTTGTATGGCGTGGGACCCAAACATTGATCTACACATCAGTCACACGGGTTCAGCCCAGCCTCTATTACAAGGCCTGTCCGAATTTACTGTAGGAGACAGTGAACCCCTAAGTCCATCACCATGGGCTCTTAATGGGCCCAACATTTATACTAAATGGTCCTTAGGTCAAGCCACCTTATAAAAACCCAAGGACTGTGGGCAAATGCAAGATTAGCCCATCAGGTATTACCCTCAATGGTCTTACACTTAACCTTTCAGCCCATAATGATCAAACACTGCCCGACAAGAGAGGACTTCTCCCTCGGTTGCAAGGTACAGTGTTGCACTCTCTACTCACATGGATCCCGAGAATTAAAACATTTTGCAAACATTTTGAAACCATAATATATATATATATATATATCTGTGTGTGTGTATCTCTATATAAATATGTTTTGCAAAACAAATTTCAAAGGTTGAAATCAACTGCCGGCAGTTTAGGTTTCCATCAGAGAAAGTGCATCCCCGATCATTCACTTTGTTTGACAAAGGGGCTGATTCTGCCACTATGATTACCCACTCAGATGAATTCTCGGACTGTCCCAACATACTTAGGTTTTGACCCCCTCTAAGGATCTCACTGATTGGCATATCAAATACAGCCCAATCCAACACTTAGTGCAATATCATAATCGAGTCTAGGGGTCAGGTGTAACATTCTAGTTTTTCCCATCTATCTCTAAGGTCCAGGGCAATATTGGAATTCTGGTCCAATTCAGGGTTTCAAGATAACCCACACTGCATGTAACTCGGGTCCCACACTGACAGTTGAGATAAGCCACCCCAACTAACTTGGTGGCACATCAGTGTCAGCCTTGCTAGGATATATCTCCCCATATCTATCCAACGGCTGTGAAAATTCTAAACTAACACGAGTCTCATATGTGTTCAGTTTAAGGGTATTATACAGAAACACACCATAATAACATGAATCAAATTTGTACTTTATTCATTTACATTAAATGTCATAATGTACATCATTCTGATTGGAGCTAAGGGCATATACTATGTAACAGTGACTGATAAAATAGCCCTAACAGTCATGCAGCACAGCTCTTCCAAACATACAAACATACAAACATATGAGCCAAACAAACATGCACGCTCCATCAAATCAAAACAATGTTGTGTATCCATATGAACCAATATCACTAAGTCCACCTTGAATTGTTTATTAAATCCTAAGCCTGATAATGGGATTATAACAGAACAAACCTAGCTAATTCGCAATCTCTCATATAAGATCATACATATAAACTCAAGTTCCATATATATATATATATATTCCGAGACTTCTTGTAATTAATATACCATATTCATATCTCTATTATCTATTATATATCCCACTTAAAAAAGAACTATCTATTATCCCAATGTTTTGCTTATAGTATTTCGTTATTATTACTTGCAATGGAATTGGGATTTTTTAAGGTTGTGTTTGATTTGAAAGAAAAAGTATGGAAAAGAAGGAAAAGATAGAAAAACCTTTATAAATCTTATATAAATTTCCCTACCTTTCTCTCTCTTTCACTAGCTTTGCCTTCAAACCAAACATAGCCTAAGATATTATAAATTAATTTTTTGTATAGGTCATAAAACTTAAATCTAAATATCATATATCTATTAATACTTATTTGCACACACTACACATGTTATCAATGTGATAAAAGGCAAACAAATGAAAAGAAGAAAATATGAGGGTTAATTTATTATAGAGAGAGTGGCAGAATTGCAAATTAGCGGGAACTCTGGTGTCAATGGGAAAACGATGGAGGGAAACCTGCAACAGGTTGCAGTTGCAGTTCCACTAGTCTTGCGGGAGTTTTGCTCATTACTTTACATAAATTAGGAGAGAGGGCGCCGTCAGCGGAACAAACAAAAACAATCCCACTCTCAGCTCTCCCTCACCTCTCTCTCACCTCACAGCTCGTCCGTACACCGATGACAATCTCACGTACGGACTGTCTAAAACCTGTGGCTCTCGAACGAGACAATAACGACTGGGCAGTCGCTTAACGAATCCCATTTTGACAACGCAACTACGGATACCACCCCGGTTTTCGCATTCCAATCCCACGCTCTCGTCTGAACCGCTTTCGTCCTTCTAGGCGGTTTTCGTCCCTTCTATATATATTCCCTTCCCTCACTGTCCAAGCTTTTGTCTCCCACCTCTCTCTTCATACACTTCCAAATTTACTCGTTCTAATACAGAAAGAAAGAGGGGAAAATACTCTCTGAAATACTCCTATCAGCCTATCACCTCCTCCTCCCTTTCTCACTCCATCTCTTCTGCTTTCAGAGTTGATCTTCGAACAGAAGAACAAATTTAAGATTTTCCTTTTTCTTTTACTTCATCTTTGTCAGTCACCATCGCTCTAGATAGCTTCTGAGATTTCTGTAGGAGGAAAGCAAGGATTTAAAAGATAAATGGGGAGAGGTAGGGTTCAGCTGAAGCGGATCGAGAACAAGATCAACCGCCAGGTGACGTTCTCCAAGCGGAGGAACGGATTGCTGAAGAAAGCTCATGAGATCTCCGTTCTCTGCGATGCTGAGGTCGCTGTGATCGTCTTCTCCACCAAGGGAAAGCTCTTTGAGTATGCCACCAATTCCAGGTACAATCTCTTACTTGAGCTTTCTGGAACTATTTATCCGCTGCTTCTGCATCTCTTCCCTTTTATTTTAATTATTACGTTGTTCACGGTTTGCATTTCTCGGGAAGCCATCAACTCTTTGTGTTTTGCTCACTGGTATGAGAAGATCGATTCGTAACTTAGATATAGTCGAATATATACGGTCTGTGAATGAAAAGAAAAATTCGGAAGAGAGAAGAAAGATCACGAATGGTGCCTTCTTTATATTTATATTCCGAGAAGAATATACAAGTAAACTTATTTTTTATTTTTCAATTAGAGCTTGCCAAAATCCATAAAAAAAATTAGAGCTTGCTCGCCGACGCCGAAACTGTCCAAGTAAACTATTAATATACAAAATTTTGGTTTATTTATACACAAATCTCTGATTCGTCAAACCATAGTGAAGACTGATAGGAATTCTCTATTCTTTAAGACCTAGTTGCATTTGCAAGATATGTGTATATGTATCATACCAGAAATTTCATGCAAAAAAGCCTTTTATTTGTTTCTTTTTTTTTTCCTTTTATTCACTTGTGAACCGAAATCTCGGACTCCGATCCAGGCCGGAGACTGGTAGGAAGATACAGTCGATCATCTCTGACTGAGCCTTCAACTCATGCGGGTTTTTGTGTTTTATCCTTACCTATAGTTGTAGGTGCAACTTTCTGACCTTAAACTCATAGAAGGAAAAGATTTGCTCTCCCCTGTGCAATTGTGCCTTGTTCTCTTCCTGCAAGTAAACAAAACAGATACATACTAATGATACAGAAGAAATCAAACGCAAAAATTAGGAAACTAGAAAAAAAGGGAGTGCGCAGGTTAAGAGAGGAAGACAAAGTGTGTACGTTAGAAGTACATACGTGGTGAACGGCTGTGCATCCAGTAGAGCATCAGCGTCTGGAAATTTGCCACGTGATAGTACGGTGAGATCCTTTTAAGATTTCTACGTACTACTTTTTTCCCTGGCAAGTGAAGTCTTTTCTCTCGAAGTCCATACGAGATGGACTGATGGAAGACTTGGAAGCTGAGATTGAGAGGACTAGACTGACCCAAATATAGTAAAATACTAAAATACTTTACGTTTCAGTTTTTGGTTTATTTAATTCTTTTATTATATTTCTTTGCCAAATACTTAAACGAGTATTTATTTGGTGATTGGTTTTTATTTTGTAGTTAATAATTTTAATCATCTTATTTGTTTTCTTTAGCATTTGAAACTTGAAAAATTGCCCAATCAGTGTTCTTTCAGATTTCATTTATACTTTGTTCTAGGACTTCGTTGTAGCTTGAATGTAAGTTGGTAGATTTGAACATGTCATTTGATGAACCAGATCTTGTTTTGGTTAGATGTATTATCTCAGACCCATGATACCTTATTATGTATGTATGACATTGCTGATTTTGATTTGTTTAAACAATTACTACTATACACCAATGTTATCCACAATTTTTATATGTTTTGGGGAGAAAAGAAGATAGATGATGATGCTGCTATTCCCACCTTAGGAGGGAGATGAATTATAAACTGCTGTGCAAGCTCCTTTTGACAGACTACCACTGCAGCAGATGTTCGGTTTGACCTGAGCAACACATTTCTAAATGCACCTTAACATAACTTAATTCTTGTCTTACTATCCATATTAAATAATTAAAATGAAAATATATCATGTACACATATTTATTTATTTTTGTCTGCATTATACATATATTTATTTGACATTTCGGTTCATGGTACGCCAAATTTTCAAAAGAACCTTCTTGGAGTTCCCGTTGAAACTTTCTTATCCCAAATTTTGGCGGTTTCAATTTTATTCACCTATAAATGAAATGCAGTAATTGTTAACAATGTGAAATCTTGATGACGGTAAAAAACAGATTTCGGTGCCTGTCATTCAGTACATATAAACTTTTGCCCAAAAAGTTGTATTTCTTTTTGACTACCATTTATATGTGTATAGCATATCTACGTAATGAACTGCTCTTGCTCACCTCATTCCGTATTTTAGTCCAAGTTTATTGGGTAGATGGATTTTCTCCTTTCCCTACAAAAACTACACTTGTGTATTTTTTTTGCCCGTAAAGAACATTAATTAATTTGGTCATGCACTCATAATAAAGATACCTGCAAGGATCGAGCTTTTGCTCCAGGTATCATATCATCCATGCGCAGCATCCTAGCTGATGATCCGCAGGTCTAGTTTGTTACATTAAATAGAATTTTACTGGTTTTCACGCAGTATTTCGCATTGAGATTTGTCTATCATTTCGAGAGGCTCAAGGCAAAATATTGTCTTGAGCTTGTTAAATGAATGTCGTCATTGTATTTATTTTCGTATCGAGGCTGGCTAGAATTCCATAATACAAATACTTCAAACTTTGGTTTAGCTTCTTTTCTTCTAATAATGCCGAATATTACTTGCCTTCTATGATTGCCAGTTACATATTTTCGCTTAATATTCCATAACTAACATACAACTATTTCATTACTTTTTCTTGTTTATCAAAATAAGTAATGAAAATGATATTAAGATTTTTATGTTATAGGGTTTTGGGTCGGAAATTGTTGAGATGTGGATCAATTTGTAATACTTTACAAGTATTCATGCATATTATTTCTAGAGTGGTGTAGTTGTCTTATCCTTTTTTTCATTCAAAGGACATACTTTTTTTGTTTCTTTCTTTTTTCCTTCCTTCTTCTCTCCAATCCCAATTGATCAAGCCTAGGTTTTCATCTAAAACACCCCATAATGCAAGGTTTTAGATGACTTCACTTATGATCTAAATAATAGTCTTCAGATGCCAAAGAGCATCTTTATTTGAAGGTTAAAACCCAAAGCAAAAAAAAAGAAAAGAAGAAAATTATTAAAATTTAGTTTTTAAGTCATGGTTTTGGTTCTGCAAATTTATATTTGAAGTCCATCAAGCATGAATCGTTCAGGAAATTTAAAGAGATGGGTTTTAGGAGAAAGATCTGAATTGGTAGCGGTTTGATTTGATTAATGAGTTACACTAATTTAACAAACATTATATACTTTTGGGTTGAAATGCATCTGCGTTTAGGGGTGAGCATGGGTATATTTGATTTGGTTCCAAGGCAGAACCTAGAAGGCAAGAACTTATCCTGTAGAGGTTGGTTCCAGGTTTTAGGAACCGGAACCTATACTAAATAGTATGTGCCAACATGCATCTAAATGCCTCGCCCTAAAGCATGTTTCAAAGCTTACACCTAACACTGACTCGGACTCAAGTTTCATGGTAACTGCTTGGTAACCCAAGCCCATTAGGGATGGCAATTTCTAACCCTACCCAGTGGGCATCCGCCCTTACCCACCCCGATGCGGTGGGCTTTCTTGCTTCTAGGACAGATTTTGGGGCAAGGACGGGTTTTGATATTCTACAACCCGTATAAATATTAGGCTAAACCCGACCCTGCTTGACTCGCTTATTGTTGGAAAGGATATGAGTTTTATTTATTAAATATTGAATATAATGTTTTGAATTTTATATGAAGGATAATTTATAGTTTATGTACATGTCTTTTTTTATCAGTAAAAGTGTTTTTACATGTCTTAATCAAATAATTGAAAATTTTTGCTTTTTGTTTATGTTATTTTACTTTTTTAGTGTTTATATGTAATGGATTCTAAATCCAACCCGCTACAGGTTTTAGAATGGGTACGGGTTGGGAGATCTAGGGAGGCAGGTAATATATAGAATTTACAAAGCCCTCCCTAAACCCATCCAGGATTGGTACAAAATTACCAATAGATAATAAGAGGTAGTATTGGCATCTAGTGGACTGGCTGGATAAGTATACACTACAATGGCTGAGGTATCCACCATATTGACTTTGGGGTTGCAATGACGTTGACTCATTAAAGGAGATTATTTGAATACGAATAGATGGAACAAAGGATTTGGATTAGGACCATGGAGATTGACTCACTTGAGATCATATTGCTTTTTCTGTCATGCCTTGGGGTGTTGAGATGGATTGCAATTTAGTTGAATCACAGGTCACAATCTTGCTAAAGCAGGAATTGGACAGGATCTATCATTTATAATGAATGTTCATTTTTCCTTGAGAGGATTTTTTGTAGAAGCATATGCTTTGCAATGAATCAATGTCCTTTCATATGGTGCCCAGTCTCAAATCTACCCACTTGTATTTTATATAAATGTTTTGAACTATTAGTTGAATTGGAGAATTAGACTGGTTGACCTGTCACCTGGTTAAATTTCTTGGTTTGTTTCACCCTAAACCACTTTTTTATTTTTATTTTTTGCAAAAAAAAAAAAAAACTTTTGACTTGGTTAACAACTTATAGCCTGACCGCTTGGAACTATTCACCCATTTGAAATTATATCTTGTTGTGCCTTAGGTTTATTATCCCCTTTCTCTCTCTCTGTTTCTCTTCTTTTTTGTTGGTAACACAATCAATCATCTTGCTCTTCTCCTTATTATACCTCAGTTATTTCAAATTGCACCTTATGCTGCTAAAAGTTGCACCTCCAATTAATTAATTATCTCTCTACCTAAACACCTTCAAGACTTTGAAATCTTTAGGTTAATGCTTTAATCATAGAGTTTGATATACATCTTCAATATGAGATCTTGAAGAAAGTTAAGAGAATTAGACCACATAATGGTATTGTGTCTAGTAGTAGAGACTAACTTCGTGACCTACAAATTGGCTGCATTATTACCTTTAAAGCTCCAATTTTTCCTTGTCCAAGGCACACTACTCTCTTTCCTAAACACGCTATTGTGATCCTAAATTAATTCTTAGCCAAAAAAAATTCCTTAATTAACTCTTTCACAAGTTTACTGTCCTTTATATAATATAAGTCCCATTGCTTACCCACCATGTTTACAGCAGGACTTTTCTACTGTTTGCCTTATTTGTGCATTTTTTTTCTTGAAACCTATGGTTAAATTCTTTTTTTTTTTCATCTAGACTTTTTATAAGCAAGACCAA